TACCCCATGCACACTTATCCATCCACCCATCTATTTAACATCCATCCATCCACTCATCCATCCATGTGTACATACATACGCACAGACGCATACACATACACACACATACATTTATCTATTCATCCACCCAAACATACATCCACACACATACATACATACATACATACATACATACATTTATCTACTCATCCATCCATCCATACATCCACACACATACATATGCACATACATTTATCTATACATACATACATACACATACAAACATACATATACACACATAAACATACACACATACATACATACATGCACAATACATTTATTTATTCATCCAGCCATTTACAATTTAAATGTTTGGCAGATCTTTGTTCTGGGCATGGTACAGGAGGAGTCAACCAGCTCCGATTTGTCACAAACAAGTCAAGACCTTATAATTCAATCTTACTGTATTTTAGAAATATTTTTGTTTAATTGAAACACTTTTCTTCCATAATCTGTAATCTACAGCAAGAAGTGTGACCGTGTCTGCTGAGCAGTGGGCAGTGTGGGAAGGAGAGGCACTTACTCTTCTCTGCAAGGCAGGTGGGGATATAGGTCCTCTGTCTGTGAGCTGGTGGCTCATCCCACAGGACCAGACCACACCCGTGTTTGTGGCTAGCATGGGGCAAGATGGTACTGTGCAGCTGGGAGTCTCATCTCTGGGCTCCAGGCACCATAGTAACAGAAGGTTGGAGAAGGTGGACTGGGCCACTTTTCGGCTGGAGATCGGCTCTGCCGTGGTCACAGACAGTGGCACCTATGAATGCAGAGTGTCGGAGAGGCTCCAGAACCAGGCCAAAGATTTGCAGTGGACCCAGAAGATTTCAGTCACTGTAAAATCTCTGAGTGAGTATCTGGGAAATCCTTTCCTGAATGTGTGTCAGTCACTTCATCCTATACTGCAGCTGGAGTAGTGTCACCCAGAACCCTTGCCAATGGTATGTGTACCCTGAGACCAGAGCAGGATCTGCCTGTCAGGCCTGTCCACTAACCTCTCAAGTTTACTCATCTTTATCAAGATCATTCTAGTTCAAAGTTGAAAACAAATCCCTATGAATAGGAATTGACTTACAGATGGGTGGAGCCAAGCCTCTTCCATTCCAGCAGCAGCCTGGGCATCATGAGATCTTCCCTGGGCACAGGCAAAAGAGTGATGCTGGACCCTGGGGGATGGGGAGGAGACCAAACACTGGCTGTGAGTGTTCTACTTGCTGAGTGGGGAGAGGAAGGAGGCCAGACCGTGGCTGTGAGTGTTCTACTTGCTCAGTGCAGCTGTCTAAGTGGCACACTGCAGAAACACTGCCTGTTTGTTGTGGCTGCTGAGAACAGTTATAGGCAATGGGGAAACTTGGAGGACTGAGGTTGGAATTGGGGACACACTGTACTGTGGACCAACCTCTACCCCCAAATTCATGATACTTCAGGAGTGCAAATGTGTGGCCCTGTGTGAAGGGTGGCATTGAGAAAACTTGGAAGTCCTGTGCGTGGACTTGGTAAACAGGAATCGTGTGTCACTTTCCCCCCACAGAATCAAGTTTACAAGTTAATCTGATGAGCCGCCAGCCACAGGTGACATTAACCCACACCTTCGACCTCTTCTGCGTAGTGAGTGTCAACCCCTCAGCTCTCAAGCTGCCATTCTCAGTGACATGGCAATTCCAGCCAGCTGGCTCTGGAGCCTTTCATCAGCTAATTCGAGTCACCCACAATGGCACAGTGGAATGGGGGGACATCCTCTCCCAGTTCCACAGGAAGACAAAGGTTTCACAGTCTTCATTTCGCTCACAACTCCAAATCCATGATGCTGCTATGGAGGACACAGGGGTGTATCAGTGCGAAGTGGAAGGTTATGACAGAAATTCCCTCTACACAAATGGTCCAGCCAGGGTATCTGCCACCTCTAACCGTTTGAGGATTACTGTCACCTTCCCAGGTATGGAATGCTTGAATGATACCTGCTTTAAAAAAGAAAAAAGGAAAGGAAAGGAAAGGAAAGGAAAGGAAAGGAGGAAGGAAGGAATGAATGAAGGAAGGAAGGAAGGAATGAAGGAAGGAAGGAATCTTTTTTTTGGGGGGGGTCAGGTATGATGGTGCACATTTTATAATCCTAGTCCTCAGGAGGCTGGGACAGGAGGATTGAGAATTTGAGGTCAGCCTAGGCTACAGTTCAAGCCTTCATTTCAAACTGTAACAACAACTCTTCCCACTTTGTGTAAACTATAGAAATAAACACAAAAATACCTAGTCATTGCGTTTGTGGTGGTAAAGTAAGCATGATGTGACGGCATTAACGTGAAGCTAGTACACATGGGATGGCCACACTGATTGTTAAAATGATGAAATGCTTCCACATCGGCCAATAACCACTACTCTGTGCCCCTCCCATCTGCCATGAATTCTTATTGCCAGCAGTGAAAGGATACTGTCTGGCACAGCAGGTCCTCAAGGGCCTTCCTCCAGAGGAGACAATCTTTTAGGGAAGTCACTGCTGGTGCCTCAGCATCTTTTTCACATTTGGAAGTGGTGGTGATCATGTAAATTCCATTAGAATACATTTAGCTACCTCTTTTAATGTGTTAACATACAAGAGAGAATTTATGGTTTCAGTCAAATTCAATCTTAATTCAATAATAGATCACAAAGGCTAAAAGTAAAAGCCAGACTAGCTAAGTTTTGCCATGCCATGTGCTTTCTCTCTCCTGACTTGCACTGGGTTTGGACAAGTTACTTAATCTACCCCTACCTCAGTCACTGCTTCTGTAAATTGCTAATGTGCCCTTGTATAGTGCACCCAGTGCAATGCCTGGTGTACAAAGCAGATGCTCAAGTGTGGTAGCCACCACCTACTCTGTGTTGCTGAGAAATATTTGTGTTAATAGTAATGATCTTGCTCATGAATTCATGCCTTAATGTACTTGTCCTTCCCTTGATGTTTGAGATTGCTTCCACAAATCTTTCTTTTTTTATTGTCCTTGGCCCCACAGCATGAGGTTTTCTCCCTAACACTAATGGTTCCTTCTCATTCTCTTGTATTCTCCTCCTACATTGAGTCACTATTTTTTAAATATTTTATTTATTATGTATACAACATTCTGCTTCCATGTATATCTGCACACCAGAAGTGCAGATCTCTTAACGGATGGTTGTGAGCCACCATGTGGTTGCTGGGAATTGAACTCAGGACCTCTGGAAGAGCATTCAGTGCTCTCAACCTCTGAGCCATCTCTCCAGCCCCCATTGAGTCACTATTTTATTTTAGTTTCTGTTTCTTGACAATGTCTCATTCTGTAGTTCAGGCTGACCTGGGATTCTCAATCCCCTTGCTTCAACCTATTAAGTGCTAGGATTACAGGTCTGTGCTACTGTACTTGGCTCTTCTTTTTTCTTTCTAAAACTCAGGTTAGCATCAGCCAAGAATGACCTTGAACTTCTGATTCTCTTCCACAATAGGCAAGCATTTGTCCCACTGAGCCCAGTTTTTCCCTAAAAAGCAACTGTTCTTTTAGATTCAAGCTTGGTATGTCCTCTGACTCTCCGTCATTTTCTATGTAAAATAATTTCTGCCCATGGATATGATCCACCTATTGACAGCTTCCATGTTCATTATTCAGAATGGTTTTTCTTCTAGTCTCGGAATTCGTAGTTAACTGCTACCAAGACATGCCTGAACTCAGTGTCAGAGTGTAAGTCATCACCATTATCCAAAGATATCCTTTCCATATTGTTCATGATGTCCTTACTACATCCCAGTGTCATAGATTACAAACTGTCCTCTTCATGTCCAAACTCCCATAACAAGATGTTAAAGATCTTCAATAATCCTATGTGTGTATTTCTCCAGTGCCCCTCAATTTCCATCTCAGATCTGAACCAACCACGCTGAACTGCCTGCAATTCCATAAGCCACATTTGCTCTCATGTTCAAGGTCGTTACTCAAGTTGTTCCTTATGTGGAATTCCTTTGCTCTCTATTTATCTGAGTGATTACTATTAATCTTCAAGACTTACCTCAGAGTTGCCTGCTCCAGGAAGTCTCTCCCCACTCCTATCTCTAGGTTAGGTAAACCTTCGGGTGATCCTCATATTTGTTGCATTTCTGTGTATCTCTGTTCTACATGGGTGACCTATTCTATGTCTGTAAGTCTTTGTCCCTGTCTTCTATCTTCCTGTAACCCAGTGATTCTCAGCCTTCTTAATGCTTTGACCGGTTAATACAGTTCCTCATGTTGTGGTGACTCCCAACCATAAAATTATTTTCATTGGCCGGGCGTTGGTGGCACACACCTTTAATCCCAGCACTCGGGAGGCAGAGGCAGGCGGATCTCTCTGAGTTTTAGACCAGCCTGGGCTACAAGGACTAGTTCCAGGACAGTCTCCAAAGACACAAAGAAACCCTGTCTCGAAAAAAATAATAATAATAATTTCATTGCTACTTCAAACTGTAATTTTGCTACTCTTATGAATAATAAGGTATTTGATATGCAAGATGTCTGATATGCCAATCCTGTAACAGAGTCAGTCAACCCCCAAAGGGGTCACGACCCACAGGCTGAGAACTGCTGCTCTAAACTGTGATTCACTGAGAGGAGGTGTTCACAAAATACCTACAATAGTCTGGTATGTGCTCCAATATGTGATTGACAAATGTTTGTTGAAGGGAATAAAGGGACCTGCTGGCAACATCAACAACAGTAGAGTGATCAACAAGGAATGGGAGTGAGATTTGTAAGGTTTATTGTGCATCTTGTAACAGGAAAAGCTGCTGGAGTTCAAAGGTGGCAGACTCCAATTCCATCTGAAATTCTCACAGTGGAATGGCTGCAAGGAGACACAATTGTACTAACCCACACACAACTTCCTCTTGTTTACTCATGTTTGAAGGCAGCTATCAAGAGACTTGACAAATCAGGGATCCAGAAACAGTCCATATAGTAAGCACACAGAGACAGAGCGCTCATAGTGTCTTTGTTTCTCACAATGATGCAGACATGCCATAGAAGAGATGCCTCTGCTTCAATACAGCAGTGATATCGTGTGGGGGAAGAGCTGGCTTTTTTTCCATGACTCTCCCCCTCCCTGCACAGTAAGAACAGAACGGGGATGAGCAGATTGATGCTATGAAGAGTAAACACCAACTTGCAATCACACAGACTTCTCACAGGCATGTCCAGTCTTTTGACATTGTAACACAACGCTGTCATTAACAAAGTTCATGTACAACCAAAGTGGAAGATTAAGAAAAAATTTCATAGTATTTGAAGTAAGCTTACACTTTTGTGTTGGGCCACAGTCATAGCTATTCTTAGCCACATGCAGCCTGTGAGATGAACAAGCTCAAAGTTGGAAAGCACAGCTTCATCAGATCATGAATTGTGCTGAAGCTGAATGAACAGTTAGGGCAGCTGTTTGCCCTGGTTGATGTGCTAGCTTAAAATTCTGTTTTTGTTTGTTTTCCCAGCAAAGTAACTCTTTTCATTCTTTTCATTCAGAGAGCAAACTGAGAGTGAACTCAAGCAGTCAGGTCCAAGAGCTCTCCATCAGCTCCAGCACGCATATAGAGTGTGCCATCTTGTCCCGAACTGCTGGAAACCTTCCACTATCCGTCACTTGGTACTTTTCTTCAACTCCTACAAATGCATCCTATCTGAAGATCCTAGAAATGGACCAAACCAATGTTGTAAAATATGGGGATTCATTTCAATCCCCTCGGAGCAAGCAAAAATTTCTTTCTGAGAAAGTCTCCCAAGACTTGTTTCTGCTGAACATTCTGAGTGTGGAAGACAGTGACCAGGGCCACTACCACTGTGCTGTGGAGGAATGGCTCTTGTCTACGAATGGCATTTGGCAAAAGCTTGAAAGAAAAACTTCAGGACTCACAGAATTGAAACTCAGGTCCACAGGTAAGTCTCAGAAGAGTGTTGTCATACACCTTTCCATATAATGGCCAACAGTCTTTAGGGTGTGACTATGAAGAGATTAAAAATATTATCTGGGGCTGGAGAGATGGCTCAGAAGTTAAGAGCACTGACTGCTCTTTAAGAGGTCCTGAGTTCAATTCCCACAACCACCATGAGATCTAGTGCCCTCTTGTACACATAATAAATAAATAAATCTTAAAAAATATTATCTGGCCAGGCAGTAGTGGCATGCAGTGGCAAAGGCAGGTAGATCTCTGAGAGTTCCAGGCCAACCTGGTCTACAAAGCGAGTTCCAGGATAGCCAGGGATTTTACAGAGAAAACCTATCTCAAAAAAACAAAACAACAAAAATCTGGACCATAAGAATAATAGCCTCCTACAAATGCACACGGGACCTGGTAACCCATCAGAGGCGAGAAGGTTGCCTAAGGTGAACCAATAGGAGGTTTCTAGCTTAAATGAGAACAAGATCCCTTTGCCTGGTTTGCTTGGCAGCTTGGCAGCCTGGTCTGCACAGCTGCCCAGGGAATCGTATCTCCAGATCTCTATAATAACAAGCTGTGTCACTCCAGTGGGGCTCTACTGTAATTTGGCAGAGAAAGAGTAATACGAAGCATATTTCTCCCACTGTGAACAGAAACTGTACAACTCTATGGGGATGTGTGGAGAAATTGCTTTTCAACATTTGGCTGCCTAAACATAAGGCAAATAAGAGTAGTTAACTGTTGGAATGGCTTACGGGGGAAGTCTTCTCCACCTCTGGAGATCTTTAAAAATGTAATGGAACTTCCATCCATTTGGGCTAGTCTATGAGTGCTGCTGTCTGAATGCAGGCAGGCTTGACTAGGTCTCTCAGTACTGGCTGGGTCACCTCTAACTGCAGATTAAAGTCAAATGGGTATCACAGCTACAGAACTGGACAAGGGCCAAGAGTATGATGTAAATAACTTGATCTAATGTGGTGCTTAAAGTACTATTTCCAAGATGACATGGAAAAACAAGCTAAGATTATAAGTGGACATTCCCATGTGCTAGGAAACAAGGCTGCAAAGATGAATAAGACATAGCTCTTGCCCTGGGGGAGCCCACAGTCTGTGAAAGAAGCAGAGGTAAAGCATAGCTTAGGAAGAGATCTTCCCCTATTCCTGGCTTGCTTCCTTTCCAGGCCCCTCTTCTTTCTCTGTTAAGCTTATGTGTTCCTCAGGGGGTGATCCTCGGCTCTTCTGCTTCTTAGTCTCTGTTGTTCTCAGAGCTTCTAGACCACTTCCCTGGCTTTCACTGTCACCTACAAGATAATTACTTTACATCTTTGGGTTTAGATATCCAGAGGCCTAGGCTTGTAGATCCTACTGTTCACTTCTACTTGGATGCTCCAGAGACCTCACTGCCACTGCATTTATGTCTCCCTACACTATGCATTTGTGTGACTGATATCCCTGCCTTCCACTTGTCCTAACCAAACACTTGACTGCGTGTGCCTGCAACATCTCTTGGCTCAAGCCTGTATACCTCAGGCAGAAATACAGCCTCTTTAGTGTATCAAGAAATCCTCAGTTTTCACCATTGAGTTGATTGGATTGGGAGGCACCCAGGAGGTTAGGAAGGTGTGTTTAGGAGAATAGTTTGGGTGTGTTTATGAGAACATTTCCAGCGAGGATTAACTAAAGGGGATCTGCCTGAATGTGTGTGGTCTCATCAAATAGACTGGCAGTCCCAGACAGAATAAAAGGGAAGAAGAATGAAATCCATGGGTACAGGCATGCTCTCTCTCTCTCTACATCCTTGCCATCTGAGAGGGGCTTGTACCACATGTTCCAACATTCTGTTATTCTGCCTTACCTCAGGCCAAAAGCAAATGATCCACCTGACTTTGGATTGAAATCTCTGAGGCCATCAACAGAACAAACTTTTCTTCCTCTAAACTCTTTCCTTTAGATATTTGTTACAACATCATCATCATCAACAACAACAAAACCAATACAGGAAATTGATGCTAGAGAGGTGGGGTCGATGCTGCGACCCAACCTGATGAAGTGGTTCTTAAGATCTGAAACTGGTTTGTGGGAGGAATTTGGAAGAGGTTGAGGAAGCAGGCTGCAGCATCTCTAGAACACTTTACCAAGAGCTTAATGGGCAATTCTGGTGAAAGAAAATGCTGGTAGGAATGTGGACAGAGAGACTGTGCTCATGAAACTTTTCATAGAAAAGAAGACTATTGGCAAGTGGTCATTCATGTTGAGTTCTGGCAAATATTTTGTTCATTCTCCAAGACTTTAGTGAAGTTGAACTCAAAGGAGTGGGAAATATTCACAGGCAACTCAGGCTATGGCATGGTTACTGCTAGCCGCTTTTAGCCAGGTTTACCATGACAATTAGGAGCAAAAACAGAGCAGAAAAAATGTGAAAACCTTGTCCTCTCCCCAATAAAGAGATTCAAGTTGGGGTTCAAAAAAGTGTGACTGTTAAAAATTAGTGCCACATACTTTGCACTAGCATGAAAGGGAAGGTACCTTGGAAGCATCTCAAGAATTGGCCAGACCCACCAAATCAAAGACTCAAGGATGTAGGAGTAAATTCATTGAGTACATTTTCCTTTGAAAGTTAGGTGTGGTAGCATTCAAATGGGAATCCTGAGGCAGAAATATGATAACTTCAAAGACATCCTATCTTACACAGTGAGTTCCAGACTACCCTGAGCTACTGTGGGTTTTGTCGTTGTTGTTTTTAATGACTTTTCCTTGAGATGAGAGCAACATAGCTGGAGTCCCCTGCTCACATGAAGCTCCACAGGAAGTTAGTTCTGTAGGATCCATGGCATAGGCTCTTAGAGGCCACTAAAGCCATGGTCCAAGCTTGACTCCTAGTCATAGGTCAAGCTAGTTATAAATCTTATCAGCAATCCATATAGTGACAGTTTCATAGACATGCAAAATTTAGGAATTATTGGTTCATGGGGCTGGAAACCACCAGCCATATGATACGTCTTTGCTTCCTTAAGTTGTTTTGCTGAGGTATTTTTGTCACAGTGATGAAACTCTGACTAAGATAGCACAGTGACACCTCTCAACTTGTAGTTAACCAAACTACAAGGGTATCTTAAAATACAAGGGTATCAAGCAAGTCCTCTCTGTGAGCTCCACGTGACTATGGGTTGACACTGTACACCTGGGCTAGGGAATTAATTAAGGGATAAGCTGCATGGAGCTGTGGAGGTCATCACTGTAACAGGCGATTTTCTCTCAGGTGAAAAGAAAAAAGAAGAAAATTAACCTTAGGGACAAAAGCCAAAGAGAAAACAAAGCCAGGACTGAAGGGGTCCCTTGAGCTTGGGACTGGACAGTGGTCAAGTACTGTGGTGGCTTAGAAACCAGTTTGCAATCAAATAGGGAGTTACTTGAGGCAAGGATGCAGGGAATTCTATATGAATTAATATTTTACATGATTCTCCATGAAGGACAAGTAAATACTAATTAGACTAAACATAGTCCAAGATCAGGAAAAAATGTTTAAAAGCAACAAAACAGATTAATGGATGAATTTGTATCAGAGTTGAAGATGTCATGATTTTCTGTCGTTCTCTGTTATAACTACTGGGTGTGTCATCCCAGGTCCTCACCTGCTGAATAGAGGGGAGTGGGGAAGAAGGAAGGCCCAAAGCTGTTCAAGGCACACTAATTTAATAACTGAGGTGGTTCCTCTGGGTGGTATTCTGTCACTTGTATCAGTGTTCTGTCTCTCAGTGTGCCTGAACAAGAGGTAATATCTGGGTGTGGTGGGGGAAGGTGATTTCATCAAAAGGAGTAGCAGTGGTGTAATATGTTACTTGAGAGAGTACTGAAAGTTGTCAACAGCACCTGTGGGAAATCAAAGAGGAAGTTCAAAGATAGGCAAAAGCTGCGAGACCCACTGAAGCCATGTTTATTTTAGTAGTAGAGTCTATCAGGCAAAGGGTCAGGCTAAAGGAGGGAAGTGGTTAGCTTGGTACGTAGCAGAGAATGTTCTGGCAAGTGTGAAAAACAGGGGAAAGGTCAAACATAAACAGCAATGATGAAGGTTCTAATGTCTGGAGAATACCAGACAAGATCTCCCAGTGGAACTGATGCAGCTCAGAGGTGACCATGCTGAAAGTCTGCTCTTCTCTAACTGTTCACTTTGCCTTCTAGGAAGTCGGGTCCATGTCTCCAAAGTGAGCTGGTTGGGAAACGCTACTGAGCATGGAGAGGTGGACATCAGCTGCAGCCTGCATGGCTCCGGCAGCCCAGCCTCCCTGTACTCCGTGACATGGTACTGGAGCAGAGAAAATGCTGGGCGTCAGATGCTGGTCCACCTGCACTATGATGGCTTGCTGGAGTACGGCCAAGAGGGGCGCAGGACACTCCTGCACTGCTACCGATCTTCTCCCACAGACTTCATCCTGAAGCTGCATCGGGTGCAGCTGGAGGATGCTGGGATGTATTGGTGCAGGGTGGCAGAGTGGCAGCAACATGGCCACCCCGGCAAGTGGATCAACCAAGCCTCAGATGAGTCGCAGCGGATGATGCTTACAGTGCTGCCCTCAGGTAACTTGGGGGTCAATCAGCCACTGGCTCATGGGGTCACTGGCATATCTGGCTTCCCTCTGTGCTTCCTCCTAGCTTTGTTTTCCCCCCTTTCCAAGGCTAGTGACAATTTTTCAGATTTCTCAAAGAAGGTGACTTTACTGCCTTTCTCCATAGTAACTCAATTCAACCCTCAAGGTTACATGAGGGTTGGGCACAGGCACTTGACTAATGGGCACATCTGAACTGTTCTGACCTTCCCTTCCCAAGCAAAAGCCATCAGCATTGTGTGTGCCTCGGATACCCAAAGAACATGGACATCAGCATCCTTACCTCTTGGCTGATCCTCTGATTTTGGGATGCTGTTTTGTGGTGGAAGAGATAACGAGACAGAATAAGATGATAGTTGTGATGACAGCTTTGCATTTTGACCCAAACAAACCAGACTCTATTACACTCAAATGCTCCCTTGCTCAAGGGAAGAAAAATTAACAGAACCAAAAACACTCTTCCTCAGAGAATACACACTCTCCCCACCCCCACTCCCTCTCTCCCTCTCCCTCTCCCTTCCCCCTCTCTTCCTCTCTCTCTCCAAATTGTCAGGGCTTTGATAACTAGGCAGACATACTCAACTTGCAGAGAATGATTTCTGTGTTCATAGCTTTAGAAACCCTAGTCTCAGATCATGTGGCCCTAGGACTCTGAGTCTGCAGCAGCACACCATGGCAGGAGTGTGTGACTGAGCAAAACCACTCACCTCTAGCTAGGAAGTGAGAGAGAGAGAAAGAGGAAGGGCCAGTGTCTCACTGTCCTTTCAATGGCATGCCTTTAAAGGCACCATCACCTCCTAATAGAACCAAACTGTGGAGGAAGCCTTTCCCACATGGATCTTTTAGGGGATGGGATAGTCATTTGCGATCCAAACATTAGCACTGTTTGTTTGGTGTCCTCTTTCCATTGCATTATTATGCCTTGGAAGACATCGAAGAAGGAAGGATGCCATATAGAGCTGCCTTATAGTCTCCAACAAAGAGAAGAGCCACTCAAAGGCCTTTAACCAAAGACTGACAGTTCTCTGTGTAGGAAGATCATCCTCAGCCAAACATCTCAGCCGAGTGCAGTATCAGACAGTGATGGGCATCTATTAGATATGTATTAATAATAATAAGTGCTTTCTTCCAGCTGGACGACTGGCTACAGTATCTGCCAGCTCAGTATCTTACTAACTTCTTTCCAGAGAGACTCAAAGAGCTGAAAGGTGAACTACAGGCTGAACTTATATTGGAAAAGGATCACTAGAGAAATTCAGGCCGAGTCTTGGTACTCCACCACATTCCTAGCAGACCAACTAGCCTGAGCAACAATCTCCGGAAGCAGAGGGGTGCATGTGCCAATTTCTCAGAGGCAAACAGAGCCTCACTGCATCCCAGTGGGGCTCCATCTGACTTGTTCCCTAGGATTCCATCATCCTCTCCCCCAGTTCATTCTTCAGGGCTCCATCATCTTTTCCTCCTGGCTCTTCTTCAGGGCTCCACCATCCTCTCCCCCTGTTCATTCTTTGGGTTTTCATCTTCTTCTTCTCCTGCCCATTCTTCAGGGCTCCACAATCCTCTTCCCCTGTCCATTCTTCAAGGCTCCATCATCCTCTCCCCTGTCTGTTCTTCACGACTCCATCATCCTCCCCTCATGTCCATTCTTCAGGAATTACTTTTTTCTTCCAAATGACCAGGCAGAATTGTTTTTTATCAGCTTTTCATTCCAACAATTATAGGTTACCCCATATATCTGGGCATACCCCCACAAATGTTTTCCCCTGGGATTCATAAGCCCCATAGAATCAGCAGTTTTTACAATAGAATAAATAGATAACAACCATAAAAGGCACAGATTCTGTGACTAGCAAGCATATCTCCTCTGAGACAGGTGAGTCTGCACAGCATATCTATGTGAGGTCATGTAGAGCATCTTGTAGGTCATGAAGAAGAAGAACTCTGGAAGAAGACACTAAAAACAGAGTCATTTTGGAAAAAAGCTCACAGACCTGTGCCATGACCAACAGGGTTTTCATTGCAGCTAACTTTGTGTTCCCAAAGAAATCCTGTGACTGAGCAGTTGACCCTGCTTTGCCTTGCTGCTCCTGGTGAGTGGTTAGGGAGACAATCTGGGGTGATAAAAGTCCTTAGGACTTACAGTCCTAACCACTTATTAGCCATGTTATCGGACTATTAACGTGCATAATGTTTGGTTATCTCATAAAATGAAGATCATAATACAAATATGTTTTTAAAAACCTAGACACTGAGCTGGGCAGTGGTGGTGCATGCCTTTAATCCCAGCACTTGAGAGGCAGAGGCAGGTGGATCTCAGTGAGTTCGAGGCCAGTCTGGCCTACAGAGAGAGTTCCAGGACAGCCGGGACTGTTACACAGAGAAACCCTGTCTTGAAACCTCACCACCCCAAAACAACAACAAAAACAAAACAAAAAACCTAGACTCTGGCATGTTATAAGATCTAGATCTAGATAAATGTTAACCCCTTTTCCTTTATACCTCCAACCCAATATGTTTTATACGTATGTACACACTGTCATAATTTATTTTCTATTTTCTGACAAATGCAACATAAGGGAAGAAAAGGTTAATTCTGGCTCCTAGTTCAAAGACACAGTTCAACCGGGTGGTGGTGGCACACAATTTTAATCCCAGCACTCGGAGGCAGAGGTAGGTGGATCTCTGTGAGTTCAAGACCAGCCTGATCTACTGAGCGAGTTTCAGGACAGCCAGGACTGTTACACAGAGAAACCCTGTCTCAAAAGAAAAAAAAATATGAGATCTGAGCCCACAAAACCATAAGTGGCAGGGAGCAGTTCCACAGAATGGGGAAAGTTGAATCCACTATGATAAGTGTCATCAGAGGACTATAGTCCCCGAATGCTGAGGGAGCAACTGAACCGGAGTGAAGGGTCACATGGGGATGGGAAGGTTCCCTAGAACATGGATGCATGAGGAGAGAGAAAACTATTTTAGGGAAATGATAAGGTACACAATAAAGCCCGGGAACCTCGGTGGTTAGAAGGTCTGGAACTCAGAGCATACAGTACAAGGCTAAAAGATGAAGGCACTAAGGTAGGGGAACCACAGAGCTCAGCTGTGCTTAGTTTATGAAGCGAGGGAGGGCACTTTATCATGACAGCCATGGGATGCTACTGAATAAGTTCATGTGTGGCAGTGACACCCTCAGAGCCATGTTTAGGAAATTCCCATTGGTTTCACCAGTGAAGCTGAAGTGGAGGGAGGCAGACAGAGCAGGGAGAACTACATGAACCTGTAGCCAAGAAGAGGCAACAAGAAGGCCCGAGTGCAGGCAGTGCTAGGGAGAAGGGGGAAGAACAAGCAGTAGGAACTGGGAGGTCGATAAGATAGACATCTGTGGGCGGTGAGTGAGATGAGGCAAATTTGTACTGGGGCTTAAGTGGATCACAAGGCCATTTACCAAGCAACCAAACCAAGGTTGAGAGGGGAGATGTGTCCAATTTGTGCAAGTTGAGCTGGAACTCAACCCAAAGAGCTTTCAAGAGGTGCTTATCTGGGAGATAGTGGGAATTTCAAAATGTGAACTGCACCGGACTTGCATACTAAGTGTTATCAATGTGTGGCCTGTAATGACCCTCAAGGAAAGACAACTGAGGTATCCAGGTGTCAGTGGTGGAAAATCAGAATAGCATTATCAGGAGGCAAGGGGAACCCAAGAGACTGAACAATACAAAAAGGCTGTTTAAGATAAGAGTGGGAGGACAGGAGAGAGGCCTCGGTGCTTAAGAACACTGCTGTGCAACTGTGAGAACTTGAGGTCAGGCCCTAGTACCACACACAAGCCAGGTATGATCTCATATGTACTCGGGTCAGGAGACTCTCTGGGGTTTGCTGGCTGCCAGTCTAGGCAAGAATGAAATGTGAGCTATGGGTACAGGAGAGACTCTGCCTCAAAGGGACAAGGCCGAGAGTGAGAGAGGAGGACACTTGTGCGCTCACATGCTTGTACCACACACACACACACACACACACACACACACACACACACACACACACACGACAACATCTCCACATGGCAGGGGCAGAAAAGCAGTGAAACCAGCTGAGGTGGCTGAAGAGTGAGGAAACAGACATGTCACGTGAAGGTTTCTTTCTCAAGAGCTGCAAACGGCAAGAGGGAAGACCGTGAGAAATGGCAGGAAGTATTGAGCAATGAGTTTTAGTTATGTGCTCTGTTGGAGTTCAAGTCGGTAGGGTCTGGAGCATGTTCACAGTACAGAGGTGAAGGGGCAGTGGGAAGAAAGATGAGGTCCATATGGCAGTCTAGCATCTGGCTGTGAAGGTGACCCTTAAGCCAGTGCACCTCCATGCCATCCTTCCCTGGGCCACAGCTGAGCATTCATGTTTCTCTGACTTAACCTTCTCTCAGTCATCATCCTGAAGCTACCTGTACCACACACATCACCACTAGTGGCCATGGACTTTGAGAATACATGGACATTGTGTGTGTTCTCTCAGCTCTAGACTGACCCGAGAGACGCTCAATAATTACCAGCCCACAAGTGTGCTCCTGCTGACTGCCAACTCTGCATGTTGGTAGAATCCAAATCAAATACAATTCACTAGTGCTCTTTGCTTCTCCACTTCCTCTATTTGACCACACCAGATTAGGTTAGTTTTAGGACTACAGAAAAGAGCCATGGATCACAAGGCTTGAGTGGAGGCCGAACAGGCATATCCTAGACCTTGCCCCCACCCCGGGTCTCTTTACAAAGACTTAGCAGGGTAGGGGCTGTAAGGATAAGTCTTTTTACCTCACCTTCAGATCCTTAATACAAACACATTAAATTTATTTGTTTGTTTGTTTGTTTATTTGTTGGGGTAAGGTTTCATGGAGCCCAGGCTGTCCTTATACGTGCTGCGTAGCCAAGGATAACCTTATAGTTCTGATCCTCCTGCCTCTACTTCCTCAATGCTAGGGTTACACATCTGCTCCATTACACTAGATTTATATGGCACTAAGGAATGGACCAGGGCTTTGTGCATGCCAGGCAAGCACACTGCCAGTAGAGCTATATACCCAGTCCCTAAATGTCATATTCTGAAAAATTGCCTGTGATGCAGTGATAAGCCAGTCTATAAGACTTTGGGGGCAGGAGGTGGATGGATTATTTGTGGCAGCATAATACTTATTACTATCTCCTAGCTTTTATGTAGATGAGGATTATTTTTAGAGTGGATTCTTAAAGGAGACATGCACTCCTACTGCTCTGAAGTTTCTAGAGAGAACATTTGTTTACCTCCCCTAGTACACTCAACAAGGGCTGGCCTGAAGCACTCAGCTAACACTTGATGAAAGAATGAGCAAGCACACCTCCAATTAGGTCAAAACAGGAAGCTGTGGGGGTGGGGGGGACACATCTGTTGTGGGATGTACTTGCTGTAGAGATTCATACCCCACTTGGGGGGCCAGCTCTTTTAAATGACCTCATATGGCCCAAGTTCTGGAGGGAGGTTTGGAGCACCTTTATCCTCTGCCCATCCTAAGTTGGCATGTCCGGAGTAGTGTCTAAAAGAAGAGCTCTTCATGGGGTGCCTGGCTGTGGGCAGAAGGAAGCAAGCTATAAACGGCTGCTCAAGATGAAGTGTGCTTGTCATGTTTTTGGCTTCCTTCTGCAGGCCGTGCACTCTGAGTATGGAGCACTTACTTGGATTGATTCAAAATGTCAAACTGTAATGGTTTTGAGTGTCACCAGTTCTCATCCAAATATGGGTGAGAGGCAGATGGTGGGAAATGGTGACGGCAGGGTCCAGAGCAAACAGTGTCCTCCCAGCAAACAGTGTCCTCCCCCAAGAGGTAATTTAGATGCACTGGAGCTGACAGTTGCTTGCTGTTGGCCAACTTGGTGCTGTGCAGAGGGCACGGCGCTGCCCTTTGGTGGCAGATTGCTCTAAATGGAAAAACCTCCTCCACACAAAGACTGTTCTGTTATACTAAAGGCTAGAGTCTCCGGGGCAGAATAGCCCAATGCCAGATTTCTTCCTACTTCCTGCATGCCTGCCCCATCTCACCATCACCCTACTGCCATTCCAGCAGCTATAAGACTTGCCACGGACTCACCTCCTGATTCTCTACCACCCCTGACTAGAAACGAAGCCAGTATCACTGTTACGAAATGCGATGACCAAGGTAACTTATAGAAGAAAGAGCTCGTCTGGACTTATGATTCCGGAGGGGTAGCAACCATGATGGCAGAGCAGAGGCAGCAGGTGGCAGGCACAGCCACTAGAGCAGACACGGGGACTCTCATCTTGAACTGTAAGCACAAAGCAGAGAGAGCAAACTCGGAGCAGCATGGTTCTCCAGGCTCCCAAAGCCTGCCACAGTGACACACTTCCTCTAGCAAGGCTGTACTTCCTCAACCTCCCCCAAACAGGGCCAATAACTGGGAACCAAGTGTTCAGATGCCTGAGATGGATGGGAAGACTCACTGATATCACCACAGCTGGCATCTCCAAAGGAATCAGTCAACGTCCAGCCCATGAAAGAAGCCGAGGAGTGTGTTGTGTTGGGTTCAGATTCCCATCTCTGGGACAGAAGACCTGAGACAATGTCTAGGGAAAGAAGTCCTATTTTGTCTTATAGTTTTGGCGTTTTCAGGCCACCATTGGTTGGTCCACGGCTTTGGACCAGAAGCAAGACTGGTAAGAGGGTATGACATTTCAAGAAGCTTCTTGCCTCTTAGCATCCTAGAAAGAAAAAAAAAGAGGAAAAAATAGTAGAAGAAGAAATCAGAATTCCATTGTTCCTTTAAGGCCATGCTCCCAGTGACCTATGCCCATCTAGTTTCAGTAGCACCAAGTTGAGACCAAACCTTGACTACTTGGCCCTTTAGAGGACATCCTAGATCCAAACCACAGAGCTGAGGTCTCTATGAGGAATCAGCAGGCTTGGGAAAAGATTGCCGAGGCATTTCTCAGCTTCCCCAAGAACATTATAGCTAATGTCTGTTGCTTGCCCACTCAAGAAATGGTCTAGGCATTGTATTAAATGTTATACTGCATATTATCTTATTGAAATTCTATGGATTATTATTATCTCTGTTTATTTCATAAGGAAACAATGGATTGGAGGAGATTAATAACTTATCCAATCTTCACAAGAGTGAGTTGAAGAGTGAAGATTTGAATTAGGCTCTATCAGAAATTGAATTGGTATTCATTCACTCCGCTGCAGGAATGCTCAGGGCCACTGTTTTAACCAGGACTCCATGGCTCCTTCCTCTGTCAGTGAAAGTTCTTGGGTCAGGGACCAAGAGATACACTAGGGCAGGCTGCCCTTTGGGGTAGGAAGTTTATTACAAGAGTTATTAATGCCATAGACAGAGAGCAGCATGGTAGGGATCCTATTGAGAGTTCAAGCTCACAGGCAGTGTAGGAGGTCTCTTCTTCCAGGTCTCAGAAAAGGGAAAGTTTCCCATCATGAGCTTGTAGCCAGGCTGTCTCTGATTCACCTGCTGCAGAATGGGTGGGGTGGGGAGGAGATGGAATTCCAGAGAAGGGGTGTGCAGCTCTGAGGATGTGGAGAAAGTGAGAAGGACAGACCCATCTAGTTGAGTGTGCCCATTACATGGGTGGAGGGATGTGTCAACCCTGAGGTTTATAAGCTTCCTTGGGGAAGTGAAAATCGTGGCTGTCTGTCATTCTCCAGGAGTCTGGACACCTGAGGAGACTGTTTACAGACTCATAGATGGGCTCTCTGTAGGGGGCTTGCTATTTTCTTTCAGCAGCTCTTGTTATAAAAAAGAAGTTTCTGTAGGTAGGTATGGCCCAGCAGTCTGGTCTATTCGAACTCAGCATTGCAGGCTCTGCCTCCTTTGACCATGCTTGCAAGTGTCATCAGATGAGCCCTGGGAGACTAATTATAGTCAAGTCAGATGGTTTGGGAGAAGAATGCACAAAGAGGAATAAAGGGTTAAAAGTTAAAAGAGGCATGGTGACACACACCTATAACCCCAGTCTTTGGGAAGCTGAAGCAGGAGGATGGTGACTTCGGGTTAGTTTGGGCTATATAGTGAGACTGCCTCAGAACAGAACAAACATACAAAATGAAAGAAAAGAATCAAAATTATCTCTTCCATTGATCACGTTTTCAAGAAGGAAAATCAGATGCAAGATGACTACAAATGAGAACAGAAAAAAAAAAAAAAATCCAGGCCACCAGCTTCTGCAGCTTTGTGCCAACCCTATTCAGAACTGACAGCCTAATGTTCACCGAGGACTGTCACTCTGTGTAGCATGATGGTGGTCACCCTGGTTCTTGCATGGGGAATACAGTCTGCAGTTGATTCTTTCATCAGAATCCCTGTGAGGCCTTCTAGGGCAAATGCTTCACAAGATAGACAGACATGTAAGAGGCAGGCCCAACCCTCAAGGAGCTCACAGTGCCAGCCTGGAGCAAAGGTCTGGGTTCTCTCTTGACTTCAGCAAAGAGGTAGTCTTCAGCTTGTAAAGTGCATCAGTGTGGCCCCAGAGGGACTTCTTTTTGCAGCAGGAGGTTGATCAGAATGACCTATTAAACCTGTTTTCATCACTGAGAATCTATAATCTCATAAATTCTATAGCTTAACCTTTGCAGAAGAGAGGGCTCATGCCATTATGATTTCCCAAGCAAAGCACAGCTGCTGTCAGCATTGGATTGTTCAGAACAGCCTCAGTTTCAAATGTATCATAAATGTAGCTGGAAAACCACAGTGAGTGATTGGTAGCACTTCACACACATGGCTTTCTGCTGAATGCCTCTAACCTGGGCCTTTGGTTGTCATTAGCTCAGGGCACCATTTCCCAGGACCTGTGGTGTCTGATTCTACTCTGCTTCCCTGGGAAGTGGCCAGGATCCCCACTGCCCCACATTTGTCTGGTGATGGTACCTCGCAGCAGACTGTAATTGCCTGAGATCACGTGCTTTGGCATGTACAGTGTTTTTCACCCTGCGACAACCTTCATTTTGGTTTAGTTCACATGTCTAGGCATTATGAGTGATGCACGGATCCCAGGACACTGTTAGATACTCTCAATCAAGGTAAGGAAGGGGCCTAAACAAAGGTCTGTGTGACAAGAGAGTGAGAACTGGGCCCTGTGAAAAGTCTGGGAGAAGTGAGATCCAACCAGCTGGGGCTGTGCCCAGAGGCATAGGAAGTGACAGATGAGCTTGGGGGGCTCAAGGAGCCAGGGGCTGGGCCACCTGTGTGACATGGGCCAGGGGGAGAAGCATGCTCCTCCGTAGGTCCAGCTGTTGCTGAGGGTAGCACCGTGAGTTTCAGGAGCAGCAGTGGGAATAGCTCAGTTAAAAATTCAGGGCCAGCTACACAGTTGAGAACGAGGGCTGAATTATACATATCTTTTCTGAGGGAAGAAGATTAAAGGAAAGGTTTTCTTTTTTGTTTTGCTTTTTGGCTGGTGGTTGTAAGTAGGTCATTGGCAGCTCTATAGCTGCAATGGCCGGGCAGGGGGAGATGCATGTGTTGGGAACGTACGTACTAGGCCTGTTCTCCCGTGCGCTGCCTTGCTCTCGCTCTCACAGGATGAAGGACCTGTGCCATCCCGCCCTGTTATCTACATGGACTTGCCTATAATCGTGTATAAGGAGATGTACGTGACTAGTCAGATAGTCTGGACCCTGATTATCTTCTGTTTCTCTTTTGTTGCAGAATCCACGTTCTCTTCCCGGATCTGCTCCTCCGAACACTTGATTCACTTCCTCATCGTCTGCCCCGTCATCATGCTGCTGCTGCTGCTCACTTCCCTCCTCTGCTTGTATTGGAAGGCCAGGAAGTTGTCACAGCTGAGTCTCAGAGCCCAGAAGGAAAAGGCTCTCTGTGTGGACATGAAGAGGGCCACTGGAGACTGGACCACAGTTAGGAAGGAAGATGGAGGCTACTGAATCCCAAGGAAAGTCTACACTGATAGAGGGAGTGTGATGGGATTGTATTGGACTGACCAGGGTGAATGGATTCTGCTTCAGACCTTGGCCAAGTTACCTAGGAACCAGAAGAGACCTGTCGTGGGCATGTGTTGTTAACCAGATCCTGTTGTGTTTCTTTGTGTGGCACCTGACTCTTTGAGTCCTGTAGATGTAGATAGTGTCATTGCCCCAGCTTACATAGACCTCATCTCCTGGAGGTCCAGCCCTCATCTGGAAAGCAAGGAACACCAGACAATGAGCCTTCCTTCCTCTCTCATTCCTCTCCAATAACACCTATTCTCTTGGAAACAACAGCTTGGCCCAGTCAGAAGGGAAATCATTTCCTTCTAGATAAGAGATGCAGGAGAAATCTGATGTCAGCAAAGCAAGAAGAATTGAGAGAATCTGATTCCCCAATCAGTTTCTTTCTAGGCAGAAACCCATCCCTCATCCCTTTACAAATGCCTGCCAGAAAGTGTAAGAGTAGTTATCTAATCAACATTGGTTCTTTGACAAAAGAATAACATGTTGTAGCCTTTTTGACATTTCTACTTGGCTTCATGCTTTATGATTTGGGGTGGGGGGGTTGTTCCTATTCTTATTTTGATGAGAAAGGGTATTGTGATACAGCCCAGGCTAGCCTTGAACTTGAACTCACCATATAGCCCTGCACAGTATAGTCTAGGCTGTCCTCCAACTTGCAGCAGTCTTCTTCCTACCAAGGTCAGCCTCGGAATACTGGGATTAGAAACATAATTTGATTCCAGGTGGTGATGGCACATGCTTTTAATCCCAGCACTCAGGAAGCAGAGGTTAGGTGAATCTCTGAGTTCCAGGCCAGCCTGGTCTACATAGTGAGCTCCAGGACAGCCAGAGCTACACAGAGAAGCCCCTTCTTGGGATGGGAGAGTCGAGGCTATCACATATTGGCATGCTTGGTTTAAGAGTTAGTAAATTGTGGGCAGTGGTGGCACAGACCTTTAGTCCCAGCACCTGGGAGGCAGAGGCAGGTGGATCTCTGTGAGTTCGAGACCAGCCTGGTCTACAAGAGCTAGTTCCAGGACAGCTTCCAAAGCCACAGAGAAACCCTATCTTGAAAAAAAAAAAAAAAAAAAAGAAGAAGAAGAGTTAGTAAATCATCATTGAAGAGCATCCCTCACACCATGCAACAGTGTTCTAAATTCGACCCCCAAGGCCTCCTACCTCCTTGTCACCTTGCCCAGCCCACCACCAAGGTGCTTGTCTAATGCCTAGAGAAGGAAAGGGTTTCAGTAGAACTTTGGAGAGGGGTCTGCAAAGTGATGCCCCTATCTCACATTAGTGGAGTTAGGGCTCAGGGGACACAGCAGGTCCCTAATTGCACCCTAGAAAGTCACCAGGGTGAGGTGTCATGGTTTAACGCTTTCAAGAGCTGTTTCCACTGTCCAGCCAGAATTGAAAATCAATCAAGTAAAGGACCTCAGATAACACATCTATTTATTGTCTATGTGACCACCAGGGTTTCTTCAGTACTTGCTAATTTGCATTTCTAAGGAGAGCCATTTATTTTTAATTATTTTATCAGGCACACAGTCCTCTCCAAAGATAATTAGTTCCTTTGCTCCTTTGCAAGCAGATTATCGGTGGCTGTGAGAACTCCCACCATAGACCTGCTGGTTCTTTAATCCAGTTCCCTCTAAAGCCTCATTTGAAACATTCCAAATGTTTTCTTAAACAACCAACACATTAACTTCTTCTCTCCCAGGTAAGGATGAAGAAAACTGAAACTGAAGAGTCTTCAGAAATATGATGGCTCCCCCTACTTTTAGAGGCCTTTTAAGAAAACTCTTTTATTTGTGTATGGGTAATTTGTGTAATTTGCCTGCCTGCATGTCTGTGCACCATGAGAGTGCAGGGCCCACTAAAGTCAGAAGAGGGCACTGGATCCCTTGGAACTGGAATTAAAGATGGTTGTGAGATTCCATTCAAGTGCTGGGAATCGAACCTGAATCCTCTGGAAGAACAGCCAGTACTACTAACTGCTGAGCCATCTCTCCAGCCCCCAAGGCTTTTTTTTTCCCTCTTTTTATTATTATTAATTCAAGTTAGGGAACAGGCTTGTTTCACATGTAATTCCCCTCTCCCTCTTCCTCTCCCTCCCCTTACCCCCATTCCTTCTCCCCTTTTTTTCTTTTTTTAAGACAGGATTTTACTATGTAGCCTAAACTGACCTGGAATTTGCAATATAGGCCAGGCTAGTCCAGCACTTACAGAGATCTGCCTGTCTCTGTAAAGGCATGCACCATCATGCCTAAAAGAAACTTTTATGTGAATTGAACCCTGGCCAGAGAATCATGAAATACACTGTGATATTTCCCATCTGGTCTGCCTGGAGTACTCTCCCAACATCCGTCCTCACTCTTTACCTTTCAACTCCAGCTCAGGCATTGCTTCTTTTCCATTAACCCAGGACAGACCTTCTTAGAGGAGACAGGGCCACCAAATGTTTCCAGCCAGAGTGCAGCCAGGGGAAGTGTGTCCCTGAAACACTCCCTGCTTTTCCGTCACTGTGGTAGGCTAAAAGGGTGGTGACTCAAATATGTCCAGCCACATAGCCACATTGTCTAGCCCTTTCTGGATGCTCTGTTTCATAAGTGGGATGAACAACCTTAGAGCTACATCACACTATTGATCCAACAGTTTTCAGGCAACTAAAACCCAAAGTCTTTGTGTGTGTGCACATATGTGCACGTGTGAGTGTATGTGTAGTGGTGTCTTCCTCAATTTCTACTCTGCCTCATTTTTTTTTTTTTTTGAGGAATAATCTCTAACAGAACTTGGAGCTCACCTGTTCTAGGCTAGACCAGCTGGCCAGTGAACCACCAGGATCGTCTGGTCTTGTGCCCCCCCCCCCCCCATACACACAGACACACACACACAGACACACACTCATGCCAAACCAGAGCTGAGTTTACCATAGTCTGCTTTTATGGGGGGCTGGGGATCTGAACTCAGGTCTTCATGTCTGTGCAGCTGGTGCTTTACCCACTGAGCCATCTCCCCAACCCAACCCTGAAGCTTCTTGAATAAAATTAGCTTTGATCCAGCCTCATATCCATCTTTCAGGACACTTCTCTCCAGTTGTGCTCATGTTTCTTTTGTATTTGAACTTGGTGGAGGACTTTTCTTGTGCTCAGTGATTGCAACTTTCCTATTCTGTGTCCCCTCTTGGCTTTATTATCAGCTTTGTTATAAATCCTCTTTGGCAGTGAGACATGCCTTTATCTCGGGGATGGATGGGAAGACCACAGCCCAAGGGCCTGATGCAGCCTTACGCCCGTGCTTTAAATACAGTTGACTGGAATACAGTCATTCTCATTCCCTTACATTCTATGCATGGCTGTCTTTCTGAGGAAATGAACACAATGGGAGGTCCTTAAGGAGAGAGACCATGTGTGATGGTTAATTTTATCATCAGCTTTACACAACTTAGAGTCACTTGGGAAGAGTCAGCCTCAATCGAGGAATTGGCTAGATCCAACTGACCTGTAGGAATGTTTATGGGAGATTTTCTTGATTGTTAGTTGTTATGGAAGGGCCCAGCCCACTGTGGGCAGTGTTATCCCTGGGGGGGGGGCAGGAGGCTGGGCTGTGTAAGGAAGCTAAGTAAATGAACCAGATACTGAGATAGTAAGCAGTGTTCCTCCATGGTTTCTGCTTCAAGCTCCTGTCCTGGCTTCCCTCAATGATGGATTGTGACATGGAGGTACAAAGCAAACAAACCCTTCCTCCCAGGTTGCTTTTGGTCAGAATGCTTTATCAGAAAAAAGCTAGAACACCATATGACCTACAAAACCTAAAATGATTTCTTTTTGACCCTTTCCAGGGACTATTTCCAGCCTCTGTCTCTTTGGGTTAGTGTTCTGCCCATTGTAGCCATGTATTATGTTCCTGAAAAACTTGGTTTGACCTATTTTATCTTCCTTTGTTGTGTATTTGGTTGACTTAATAAACAGTCTTGGGCTGTCAGGACTGGTGTCTGGTCCAAATCATTCTGCCCTTAGGATCCTCCCGGGCAGGCTGACACCCATGCAGAGTGGAAAGCTCGCCTCCCTGAGGAACTCCTTGCCACTGTTCTGAGAACCTTCTCTAAGCGAGAGAAGCTGACACCGAATGAATACGGCATGGCTGCTCCTCTCATTATTTTTAGTCTTTTGAGACATGTGTAACACTAACTGACTTATTGCTGAAGATGAATGCTGTGGTGAGAAGATGCAAGCCACACTAATTCCTCATGACTGTTCAGAATTTATTCAGCCCTGTAGTTTCTTGGCATCCTACACAGAAGGGACTGTTTCCTTTCCTCAAGCAAGGAACTGATGCTCAGAGAGGTTAGGATTCATCCAGGATCAACTAGCACTGGGCAGAAGAGCAAGAATCAAACTTTAGGTTTACTGAGCTATCCTACACCAATGGACCCCCCTTCCTAATGTGCAACCTTCTAATACAGCTTCTCGTGGTGTAGTGACCCCCCCAACCATAACATTATTGTCATTGCTATTTCATAATTGTAATTTTGGTACTGTTAATAATTGTAATGTAAATATCTGATATGTGACCCTGTGAAAGGATCTTTCTACACACACACACCAAGGGGCTGCGACCCAGAGGTTGAGAACTGCTGTCCTGGACTCTTACCACACACCCTGTGCACTAATTTATTGCTAAGCAGGGAAATTTTGATGACGATAATACCCACATCACTGGTTCAAGATGGGGTGTTTATACAGACATAGGGGCTTGTTGTTCCTTTTCTTTCCCATAGCCAGATCCACAGTGGTAGGAGAAACTCCTGTCCATAATAGTTAAGGAAACAGCTTGCTCACCTCCCAACAGCCAACTTATAAATAGGTTTTAAGCCCCTTCAAATCATAAACGAATGTCACTGTATCTCGATTTTTTTTCAGGCCATACCTGTGCTCATATGAAATGAAATCAATAGCAGCAATTCAGATTTCACAGGCTTTGGCCAAGGCTTGCTTACAGCAGGGCCTTAGCCATCAATAACGTCCTTCAAATATATCTGAGGGTTCTGCGGGATGCTGAGGGTTCACATGCACTCACAAGCGAAGTCTCTCCCCTATGATTCCTTGTTGTTTAGCTGGGTACCATGGGCTCCCTGGAGCTTGGGATGCTGGGTGGAGCATGAGAAATGGGCAGGCAACACTACACTCAGTCTATCTGTCTGCATCACATTCAGCTCTAAGGTCTCTGTGACTTTATGCTTTGTGGTTATTCTCTTGAAAAAAAAAAAAACAGCTCTATTACCCTTTGCCAACTATCTGCTTTGTAACATCTAAACACTAGCAGTCTGGGACCACCCTGTTCAGTCCTCCCCTTCCGGTCCTGTGGCCTGAGGTACTATGCACTTGACCTCTTCACCACCTGTTTCCCTTTGCTTCCCTCAGGGAGATCTTGCAAGCCTGCTTGAGGGCGCCCTACACCATCACCAGACAGGTTCCAAGGTATCTGTGCTCCCTTAGAAGGCAGTCCTGTTACACAGGGTATTC